GCGCGAACGCGACGCGGGACGCCACGCGCGTGCTCCTCGGCCACGGCTACGCCTACGGCTACGACGGCCTCGCCGCGTGGGGCGGCGAGGGGGGCGCGAAAGCGGACGACGTCGCGCTCTATCTTTTGTGGCGCGCGGGCGCGGCGGCCGTGGACCGCCTCGCCGACGCCGTCGACGACGACGCGACCTACGGCGGCCCCGCCGGCGCGGCCTTCGTCGCGGCGACGGCCGTCACCGCGCCCGCGGCGATGGCCGCGATCACGTGGGGCCCGAAGAACTGCAAGGCGCAGGTCCGGTCCGACGTGCTCGCGACGCTGCGGCGGCGCGCCGACGCGTTCCTGGACGCGCACGCGGACGCGCTGCTGCCGCGTTTGCCCAACGCGTCGCGGGGCTACGCATTGGTCGTCGAGCGGAGGGCGCCCGAGCCGGAGCGCCGGCGGCGCCTCGGCGGCAAGGGCGACGCGCGGCGGCGCCACGTGCACAACATGGGCGACCTGCTGGCGGCGCTCCGGGCGGCGCGGCCCGAGCTGGACGTGCGGCCCGTGGCCTTCGACGGGTCCATCCCCTGGGCGCTCCAGGTCGCGCTCTGGCGCCGCGCGAAACTCGTCGTCGGGTTGCACGGCGGGGCGCTCGCGAACGCGCTCTTCCTCTCGCCGGGCCAGGGCCTCGTGGAGATCACGCCCCGGGAGCACTCCTGCGGCCACCCGTCCATGTTCGCCCACGTCGCCGTCGCCGTGGGCGCGACGTACCGGGGCGTGCTCTGCGCGGGCTGCACGATGCGGTCGGGCGGCGCCGTCGACGTCCCCGCGGTGCTCCGCGCCGTCGCCGCGGTCCTCGACGACGACCCGAAGCCGGCCCTCATGGCCGACGGCGAGTCCGGGGGGACGTAGGGGGGGGACGCAAGAATAGCGACCGCATGGACTTGTAGATGTCTCGGCCATGGCGAAGTCCTCAAACATGAGCCTCACTGGCCGAGCCGTCGCACCACTAATGAGGCCCAACATCCCCGGACGGACACATTCGTGGCATCCCCTTCAATAACTAGTCCAACATCGACCCGTCATCGATCTCGGTCGACTTATGGGTTCCTCCACGCACTTGCTGTTTCTCAGCGCCGGGTTGGCCGCGGCCCTCGTCGCCCCCCCGGCACCAGCCCCGCGCTGCGCGCGCGCGACATCCACGGTCCTCCGCGCCGCGCCGCTGCCGTTCACGAGCCCGCGGAAGGTCGACGAGGCCCTGCGGCGCAACGACCCGTTGCTGCACCTCGCGTCGCGCCTCATCCGCGACGACGACGCGCGGCGGGGCATCCGGTCCATCTACGCCTGGTGCCGGCGCGCCGACGACGTCGCCGACGAGGTCGGCGTGAACAAGGGTTTGGCGCTCGCGAGCCTCGACGAGATCGAGGCCGATCTGGCGGCGGCGCTCCGCGGGAGCCCGCGGAACGCCATCGACGCGGCGCTCGCCGCGACCTTCGAGGCCTACCCGGCGCTGTCGACGGCGCCCTTCGAGGCCATGCTCGAGGGCATGCGCGGCGACCTGCGGCCGGAGAGTCTACGGTTCGAGCGCTGGGACCCGGACCTGAAAACGTACTGCGAGCGCGTCGCGGGCGGCGTGGGGCTCATGCTGCTCCCGCTGCTCGGCGCGACACCCGACCCCGTCGTGGAGCGGCGGGCCGTGGACCTGGGCGTCGCCATCCAGCTGACGAACGTGCTGAGAGATGTAGGGGCGGACGCGCGCGACTACGACCGGGTCTACCTGCCCCTGGCGGACCTCGCGGCCTGCGGCTGCGACCTGGAGGACGTGCGGAAGGGGCGGCTGACGGCGCCCTACAAGGACGCCGTGCGGCTGCAGATATCGCGCGCGCGCGACCTCTACGCGTCCGCGCGCCTCGCGATCCCGGACCTGCCCAAGGCGTCGCGGCTGCCCGTGGCGGCCATCGTCGAGCTGCTCGAGAGCATCGTCGACGAGCTCGAGGCGCGCGACTGCGACTCGCTCTCGGGGAAGCTCCGGCCGTCGGCGGTGGCCGTCGCCCGGGCCGTGGTCCGCGCGTTCCTCCGGTCGTAACCCCCCTTACGCGGCGAGGCCGGCGCTCAGCCGCTCCGGAGGCCGAGGACGACGCCCGTGGCGAAGCCCGTGCCCGAGGGCATGTTGTACTGGAGCACCTCCATGGCCTGGCCGTACAGGTTCTCCGCGTCGGCCATGTCGATCTTCCCGTCGTGGTTCACGTCGAAGCGGTCCTGGAAGTCCTTGCTCAGCTTCTCCTGGTCGACGACGATGTAGCCGTTGTAGGCGAGGGCCTGCATGAGCGCGAAGATGCCGCCGAGGCCCGCGGCGACGACCTTGGACGCCTTCTTCGCCGCGAAGCCCGCGCAGTAGCCGCTGCAGAAGCCCCAGCTCAGCTGGCTCGGCACGCCCGTCGCCAACGCCGTCGACGCGTGCTTGCCGATCTCCGCGAGGAGCTCGTCGCCGCCGGCCGTCATCGCCCGGTTCTTGGCCAGCGCGAGCGCGAGCGCCGCGTCCTTCTCGTCGACCTTGCCGTCGCCGTTCAGATCCAGCGCCGCGAGCACGCCCAGCTTCTCGCGCACGGCGGCCATCTCCTCCTCGAGCCGCTTCTTCTCCGCCTCGAGCTTCGCGGCCTCGCTCTTGCCGCCGAACCAGCCGCAGTCGGCGGGCTTCTGCGTCGCGCCGGCGGCGCAGGCCGCGAGCGGGGCCGCGCGCAGGCCGCGCAGGGCGAGCCGCGACGCGAACATGGCTGGTTGGTGGTGCAGGCGGGCGGCGCTGGATCCGCGAACGTTGACGAGGTGGGGAGTGGCTGATCCACCGAGTTTGATGGCTCAACGTTCGTTCACCTGGGGGTGATCATCGACTCGTTGCCCCACCCGTACACGATTGTTTGGGGCAGCCACTAGCCGCCGCGATCGCGCCGTCGCCGCCGTTGCGACCGCAAAGCCCGCGAAGCGCAAAACGAGACCATGTCGGCGGCGCGCGCGCGGCGGGCGCAGAACGCGCAGGTCGCGTCGCGCACGCGCCGGTCGGCGGCCGCCGACGCGAACCGCAACATCCTGGACCGCGTGGGCCCGTCGAAGCCCAAGATGACGCGCCTCGTCGCGAAGAACATCGGCGCCTCCGTGAGCGCCGTCGACGTGCGGTCCCTCTTCGCCACCGTCGGCACGGTCAAGGAGGTCCGGGCGGTTTTGGGCGCGTCGTCGACGGTCGTCACGTACGAGGTCGACTTCGCGGACGCGGCGTCCGCGCGCGAGGCCTGCGTGCGCTTCGACCAGCGCACGCTCGACGGCCGCGTCATGGGCCTGAGCCTCGAGCAGGCCGGCGGCGCCAAGGCCGCGGCGCCCAAGCCCGCGGCGAAGGCGCCGCCGAAGAAGGCCGCGGCGCCGCCGAAGAAGGCCGCGAAGACGGCCGTCGCGAACAAGAGGGCGCCGGCGACCTTCGTCGTCGACCTCAACGCGACGAAGAAGAAGGCGCCCGCGCCGAAGAAGCTCGTCGTCGAGCTCGGCAAGAAGAAGACGGCCGCGGCGGCCAAGAACAAGCCCAAGACCGTCAAGGCGCTCCGGGCCAAGGTCGCCAAGAAGGGCGAGCGCCAGGCGCCCAAGATCGCCAAGGCCGCGACGCGCCGCCTCGTCAAGGCCGCGCTCCGCTAGGCGCGCGGTCTTGGTGCAACATAAAAGTGATTGAGGTCAAGGTGCCTTTTTTGTGGCAATCGATGTAAGGGCTGAGGTGTTTTTTGTACGCGCCGCTGCCGCCGGGCTGACGCGACGCAAGAGACCACCATGCGCTGCGCCATCACGGGCGCGCTGTCCTACACGGGCCGCTACCTAGCGGCGCGCCTCCTGGAGAAGGGCCACGACGTGCTGAATTTGAGCAGAAGAGCGACGCCCATCGCATTGGCGCCGCTCTCGCAGCGGCAGGCGGACGCCCTCGCCGCGGACCGCGTCGCGCTCGATTTCGACGACGTCGACGCGATGGCGCGCGCGCTCGAGGGCTGCGACGTGGTCTACTGCTCGCACTGGGTCCGCTTCGTCGCCGGCGACGGCGACCCGCACGCCGCCGCGGCCGCGGCGAACGGCCGCCTCTTCGCTGCGGCGAAGCGCGCGGGCGTCGCCAAGGTCGTGCTCATGTCGCACACGCGGACGTCGACGAGTAGCCCCTTTCCGTACATCGCCGGCAAGGCGAAGGCGGAAGACTTGCTGCGCGAGGCGGATCTCAACTACGCGATCGCGCGGCCCTGCGGCATCTTCGGCGACACGCCCGAGGAGTCGATCCTGATGAACAACGCCGCGTGGGTGCTGCGCCGCGTGCCCGTTTTTTTGGTCGCCGGCGCCGGCGACCACGTCTTCCAGCCCGTGCACGTCCGCGACGCCGCGGCGCTGCTCGAGGCGCTCGGCGACCCGGCGACGACGGGCGAGGAGCGCGACGCGTGCGGTCCCGACGCGCCCACGTCGCTGGAGCTCTTCGGCGCCCTCCGCGACGCCGTCGGCGGGCCGGGCGTCGTCGTGCCCGCGCGGGGCCTGTTGTCGACGCGCGCGATCACGGCGCTCACGCGGCCCATCGACTGGTACACGGGCGACACGCTCCTCGACGCCGACGACCTGGACCTGCTCACCTCCGGCCTCACGCGCGCGGACGACCCCGACGACCCGGCCATCGCCGGGCGCCGGTCGCTCCTCGCGTGGATCGCGGACCGGGGCCCGGACCTCGGCCGGCGCTACGCGTCGTCCGTCGCGCGGTACTACAGGTAACGATCGAGGTGCGCGCGCACGTCCCGGCCGAGCGAAACCTTCTTCGCGGCCCACGCCGCGGCGCACCGCGCGCGCCGCGCCTCGAGCGCGGCGCCGTCGGCGAGGAGCGCCGCGAGGCGCGAAACGTCGGCCGCGTCCCAGCCCGCCGTCGCCGCGACGAGCGAGCCCGCGAGGTCGTCCCCGAGGAGCGCGGCAAAGTAGGCCGGCCGCTCGACGACGGGGAGGCAGCCGCACTCGAGGGCCTCGTAGAGGCGGAACGAGTCCGGGTGGATCCAGCCCACGGGGCACGGCGCGAGCGCCGCGGACGCCAAAAGCCGCGCGTACGCGTCCGTCGCCAAATTGCCCGGCGCGTCCCAGTCGAGGGCCTCGGAGACGTGGGACGCCCGCGTTCCGGGGAGCGCGCCGAGCGCACCGAGCATGGCGCGCCGCGAGCTCTTCGTGCCCTGGCCCGCGAAGGCCCACGCGTTCGTCCGCGCCGCGCCGCCGGGGGGCTTTCGGAAGCCGGTCTTGTACCCGAGCGGGACCGCGAGCACGTTGCCCAGGTCGCCGTAGGCCTCGTCGCGGTAGCAGCGGAGCACGCAGCCGCACTTGCCGTAGAGCCGCCGCAGGTCCGCCGCCTTGGCCGCCGCCGGGTCCTCGCGCTCGAGCGCCTCGAAGTCCGCGCGGATGGCCTCGGGCCAGGACCTGGGCAGGAAAAGAGTGCGAAATTCCCAACTTTGGAGGCTCCTCTCTCGGTCGTTTTCCACTCGTTCGGCTAATTTTTGGACGAGCGATCATCTCTCGGAGCGCTCTCGACGCGTGGATGCTTTTTCGGAACGCGCGCGCGCGGAACACTCCCGTTGAAGCGAACTTGGAATCACTCTTTTCCCGCCCGGGCCACGACGGCTCCCAGGCGGCGAGCGCGTCGGACGTCCGCTCGTCGCCCACGTGGAAGAGCGCCAGGGGGCAGGGCGCCGCGTCTACGAAGCGCTCGACGACGGACCGGTCGTGCTCGAAGTCGTTCCAGACGACGAGGCACCGCGCCGCGCCCGCGAGCAGCCGCGCGCGCGCCGCGACTCTGTCGTCGCCGTTCGCCGGGAGCCACGCCGCGCGCCGCCGGCCGGCCTCGCCGAAGAAGTCGTCGCCGACGGGCACGAAGACGGCGTCGACGTCCGCGAGGAGCACGTCGCGGAGCCAGCCGTAGTACCACTTGGCGCCGACCTTCGCGTTGACCGCGTAGACCACGACGAGCGACGCGCCGCTCCGGCCGACGGCCTCGACGACGGACAGGGGCCGCAGCAGCTTCGCGGAGACCCAGCCCCGCGGCGACGCCAGCCGGAGCCGCACGGTGCCGCGCTCGTCCTTGGCGTAGGCGTCGACGGCGACCATGCCGTCGAGGCCGACCTCGCCGACGAGGGCCGACGACTTGCTCACGCCGGCGCGCACGATGACGCCGGCCTTGTTCAGCACGACGTGCGGATCGCCCGCGGCCAGCAGCGGCTCGGCGTCGCTCGGGGCTGCGGCGGCTGTGGCAGCCATGCTGCCCGAACGATGATGCCGTGCAACTTGAACATCAAACCTCAACAATCAACCTTAAGAATGCAAAAACATACATAGGTTTTTACAGAAAAATTCATGCCACGCTGCCGGCAACATGCCGCTTGTTTTAGCAACCAGAAAGCCGAGGTCTCCCGAGCGGGTATATAAAAAAAACGGGCGCGGCGCCTACGCCGCGTTCTGGGAGACGATGGCGTCGAGCTTCGTCGCGAAGGCGGCGACGATCTGGCGCGTGAAGAAGTCGGAGCGGGGCCGCTCGTAGACCTTGTACTCGATGGCGTAGACGAGGCGGGCGATGCGCTCCTGCTTCGTGCCGCCGACTTTGAGGCCCGCGGACTTGCAGTGCGCCGCGAGCTGGCCGAGGTTGAGCGCGCGCGCGTTGACGACGAACTGCGCGACGCGGCGGTCGCGGTCCGCGTCGTCGGCCGTCTTCCGCCGCTTGACGCGCTGCTGCTCGGCGTCGCGCTGGGCCGCCGCCGCCTCCTCCGCGGCGCGCGTCGCGTCGTCGACGCCGAGCTCCGCCTCGTCGTCGGACGCGATCTCGATGACCTCGCCGTTCGCGACGGCCGCCTCGTAGCGGCGCCGCGACAGCTCCGCGGGCGTGTACGTCGTCGCCTCGAGCTCCTCGCAGTCGCTGTCGTCCGCGCCGGCGCCGGCGCCGTCGCCCGCGAGGAGCGCGTCCGCGAGCGCGCGGCGCAGCTCCGCGTCGTCGGCGCGCGACGCCTCGTCCCGCCGGAGCCAGGCCGGCGGCGCGGGCGCGGCCGGCAGGGGAGACGCGGCCGGCGCGGGGGCGGGCGCGGTCGGCGGCGCGAGGCCTCGGGCGTCGGGGGTCGCGGCCGGCGCGTCGAGCGCCGGCGCGGCCGGCGCGGCGGGGGTCGGCGCGGCGGGCGCGGCGGGGGTCGCGGCCGGGGCGTCCCGAGCCGGCGCGGCCGGGGCGCCGGGGGCCGGGGCGTCGAGCGCCGGCGCCGGCGGGGCGTCGAGGGTCACGGCCGGCGGCGCCGGCGGAACCGCGGCGTCGTCGGCGGTCGCGCCGCGCCGCGCGGCCGCCGGGGCCGCGGGCGGGTCCGGGACGGGGGTCGCGCCCGGGGCCGCCGCCGACCGCGAAACCTCCGCGGCCGGGGGCGGCGCCGCGCCGCGCGCGGCGAGGCGAAACCGTAGGAGGTCGACGGGGCTCGCGCCGAGGCGACTGGCCAACGCCTCGAGGAGCGAGACGTGCCGCTCAAGCTGGAAGATGCGTTCTGTCGAATCCATGGGTGGCGCGCCGCCCGGGGGCGGGTACCGGTGGCTGCCTGTAGCCGTACGGCGCGTCGACGGACGACGCGGGAGGCGCTCTCTGTGGCAGCTCTCTGGACACAGCGCCTTGGCCGGGGCGCCGGGGCGAACGTCCGGGGCGAGCGCCGCCACGACGACGACTGGCCGGTCTCGCGACGCCATCGCCGACGCCGCCCCCGCGCCGCACAGGCAACCAGAAGCCTTTAATCTCCCCCGCGCGAGACCGACGCGCCGCCCGACGTCTCCGAGCGCCGCCGCGCGCGCGCGCGATCGGCCGCGCGCGCGGCCCGCTCACTTCTTGACGACGGCGGCGATGTCCTGGTAGCGGAGGAAGGAGAAGCGGCGCACCTCGCCCTCCTCGCCGAACTGCTCGTCCTTGGGGCCGATGCCCCAGGGGAACTTGCAGTAGACGAGGTCGCCCGCGGCGACGCCCGCGTTCTTCGTCACCGCGCCCGAGTCGCCGACGGCGCCGTCGCCGACGGAGACGACGCGCGCGAGGTGCATGGGCGGGTCCTCGGGCTCGAGGAGGATGAGGCCGCCGGACGACGTCTGCGGCGGCGCCAGGCGCTCGACGTAGACGAGATCGTAGAGCGCCTCCTGCCGCGTGAAGCTCCGCTCGTTGACCGACGCCTCGGCGGCGCGGCGCGCCGGCGGCCTCAGCGACGTCGGCCCGGGCCGGAACGCCGACGCGAGAGCCGCGAAAGCGCACCACGCGGAGAGCGTCGACGAGGACCTCATCGCGTTCAACCTCAAGGCACAGGCCAAAGCTGCAGCGAGCGCAAGCAAGCATGGGCGCCCTTGCCTTCATAGCTCTGCTCCTCGCGACTCCCACGTCGTCCCTCGCGGCGCCGCGGAGCGTCGCGCGCGCCGCTCACGCCCGGCGGTCGGCGCCGCGCATGGCCGTCGCGCCCGGCGACATCGTCGTCATGATGAACGGTTTACCCGGCAAGATGGGCTGCAGCGTCGGCGAGGCCATCGTCGCGCGCGGCATGGAGCTCGCGCCGACGGCGCTGACGGGCCCCGACTTCGCCGGCGACGTCGTCGACGTCGCCGGCACGAGTGTAACGCTCGTCGCCGGCGGCACGGACGCCGCGGACGCCGCGGCCGGCGCGCTCAAAGCCGACTGCGCGGCGCGCGGCAAGACGCTCGTCGCCGTGGACTTCACCGTGCCCGCGGCGGCGGAGGCGAACGCGCGCTACTACGCGGCCCACGGCCTGAGCTTCGTCATGGGCACGACGGGCGCGGACGCGGGCGCGCTGAGCAAGAGCGTCCTCGACGGGACGCACTCCGCGGTCATCGCGCCGAACATGTCGAAGCAGATCGTCGCGCTGCAGGCCGTCGTCGAGCGCGCGGCCAAGGACTTCCCCGGGGCCTTCGCCGGGTACGCTCTGGACGTCACCGAAAGCCACCAGGCGTCGAAGATCGACACGTCGGGCACGGGGCAGGACAAGGGTGATTCAACGTCGCTTCAATGTGAGTGTTCCGCGCGCGCGCGTTTCGGAAACAGCACCCACGCTTCGAGAGCGCTCCAAGAGATGATCGCTCGTCCAAAAATCAGCCGAAACGAGCGGAAAACGACCGAGATAGGAGCCTTTGAAGTTGGGAATTTCGCACCCTTTTCCTGCCCAGGTCGGGCACGGCCAAGGCCGTCGTCGCGTCCCTCGCCGCGCTGCAGGACGAGCAGATCTGGTCCAGCGCCAACGCCAAGGTTTCTGCCGCCATCGAGCGCATCGACAAGGTGCGCGACGAGGCGTCCCAGCTCGACGGCGCGGGCGGCCTGCTGGGCAAGGTGCCGGCGGAGCACCTGGCGGGCCACGCGTACCACACGTACGGCCTCACGTCCGGCGACGGCACCGTGCGCTTCGAGCTCCGCCACAACGTCAACGGCCGGTCGACCTACGCCGAGGGCGTCTGCGACGCGACCCTCTTCCTCGCGGCCGAGCTCGCCAAGGGCGAGCCCTCCACGCGGCTCTTCGACATGATCGACGTGCTGCGCGCGGGCGCCATGAGCTAGGGCCGCACCGCTAAAAGGAAAGCAGCCGCGTTCTACCCTCGTTCGCGCCCGCGCCCGCCGGCCCGGGCTCGGCCGCGGGCTCCGCGGGCGCGCCGGCACTTAAAAAAGCGAGCGGCCGCGTTTACCGGGCTAGTTCGCGGCCGCGTCCGCGGGCTCGGGCTCGGCCGCGGGCTCCGCGGGCGCGCCGGCGACGAGGCACTTGAAGGCGATCTTCGTGGACCACGCCTCGTCGGGCTCGGGCTTGCAGAACTCGGGCCGCACCGTGAGCGCGACGCCCTCCTCCGCGAGGTACGTTTTGGCCTTCCACACGGCCTTGATCCCCCGCGTGACGGCCTGGGCGCCCATGGCGAAGGCGACGACGCCGTCGCCCTTGCGCACGGCCTTGGCGATGGCGCCGGCGACGGCCGTCGGCACGGACCCGGACGCGACGTTGAACTCCTGCGCGTCCGCCGCGTCGGCCGCCGCGGGCGCGCCGTCGCGCGGCGCGGCGGCGATGCGGATGACGGCCTCGTTGGACGCCGGGCTCGCCTCCGTGCCGAGGAAGGTCGGGTCGACGACGAGGTCCATGCGATCCGCCTCGAGGTAGTTGCGCGCGAGGCAGACGGCCTTGACCGCGCGGTTCACGCTGGGGGGGCCCGCGGCGAGGAGCTCGACCTTGCCGTCGCTCCGCAGCGCCTGGGCGACGTAGCCCGCGACGGACTTGACGTCGCTCTCGCGCGCGACGGAGCCGCGCTTCGTCACGCCGTCGTCGCCGACGCCCGACGCCGGGGCCGCCGCCTTCTTCGGGCGCGAACTCTTTTGCTGCGGGGCGCCGTCGGCGGGCTTGCGCGGCCCGCGGCCGCTCCGGGGCTTGCTGGCCTTGTTTTTCGAGCGGCGCGGGGCGCTGCGCTCCTTGTCCTCCTTGGGCGCGGCGGCGTCGACGATGGAGCTCATGCTTGACACCGAGGTCGGCGAGCTGCGTTCTCTTGGGCTTGCGCCGGCCTACGATGCCTCGTAGGCTGCCCGGCCGACTGTGCCGCAACATCATGTTGCCCGGAGAAGTTTTCCTTTGACGAGGTGGTGGCTCCTATCTCTGCCGCATCAGCGACCGCATCCGCGAGCCTCCGCGTCCATCTTGCACCGTCCGCGCGCGTACAACGGGCATCCGCGGCATCGCGAGGACACGCCGACGCGCGTGACTTCTCAGCAGAAAAAATGATGCCGCTGTCGCGGCGCCTCCTCATCACTTCCGCGCTCTTCATGTTCCTCACGGCGCTCACGGGCGCCGTCTTCCGCTGGATCGGCGCGGCGCGCGACCTGCGCGCGAAGAAGCTCGACGTCGCGCCGCCCTTCGAGCGCGTCGGCGAGGGCCCGCCGACGAGGACGCCGCTGGCCACCGGGCGCGTGGTGGACGAACCTGCATCTCGACGAGGGCGAGCAGGCCGTGCCGGGCCCCTACGCCGTGCGCGGGTCCGGGTCCGCCCTCGAGGTGTGCTACGGCGCGAAACACCGGTCGAACACGGCGACGGTCGTCGTCGACGCGTTCGTCGCCGACGTCACGGTGACCGCGGCGGGCAACGGCACGCGGTCCGTCGTCCGGGCCGACGAGCTCACGGCGACCTACGCCTTCGGCCGCGGCGCGCGCGCGCTCTTCGCGCGCGGCTCGCCCTACGTCACCGTCGAGCTCGACCGCGGCGCGGACGTCGAGCTCGGGTCCGCGGCGGGCGTGCCGTCCGTCGTGGCGCTCGGCGCGGGCGGCGTGCCGGCGGACACGGGCGGCCGGGGGCCGCCGCGCGCGTGCGCGGCCCACGAGGGCTGCGGCGGCCTCTCGGGCGACTGCTGCCCCGCGGCGGAGGGCGTCTTCCTCGAGTGCTGCGGCGGCGGCTGGCGGCGCCTCGCGGAAGAGGCAACGGGCCGGAGCTTCGCGCTGACGCTCGGCGACGGCGCGCGCTGGCTGCTCTTCGCGTCGGCGGACGTGTCCCTGGCCAAGGCCGGGGCGTCCTGGCGCCTCCGCGCGCCGACGGACGTCGTCGCGCGGTTGGCCTACGCGCCGGACCGCGCGAGCGAGGAACTGCTCGTCGCCCACGCGGGGACCTACGCCGTCGGCGGCAGGGTGTCCTGGGCCGCGCGGGGCGACGCGGCGGTCCTGCGCTTCCGCTGGGCGACGCGGACCTTCGACGGGGCGCCGCTGCTCGGGTTGGCGCTGCCGCATCATGCGGACACGCTCGCGGGGTCCTCGAAGAAGACGAGCTGGGCGGGCCTCAAGGGGCCGCTGGTCGCCGTCGCGGGGCCGACGTGGACGTTCAAGGAGCGGCTCGCCGACCTCCGCTGGGACCACGGCCCGCTGCCGCGAAGCGCGAAAAGCGACGTTCTGGCCGCGCTCGAGACCGTCGCGGACGTCGCGCCCAACGGCCTCGACGAGCGGGACCTCGCCGAGCGCACGGGCGTCTACACGTCGGGCAAGCGGCTCTTCCGCCTCGCGAACGTCGCGCTGACCGCGCGCGCCGCGGGCGACGACGAGACGGGCGCGAAATGGGCCCGCAAGCTCGCCAAGGCGCTCCGACCCTGGCTCGCGACGGGGAAGCGCGGGCTGCTCGTCTACGACGGCGACGTCGGCGGCGTCGTGACGAGGAGCGGCTACAAGGATCCCGAGGCGGACTTCGGGAACGGCAAATACAACGACCACCACTTCCACTACGGCTACCTCGTCTACGCCGCCGCCGTCGCGGCACACCTCGGCGAGACCGTGGACCGCGCGGCCGTCGACGCCCTCGTGTCCGACGTCGCCAACGTCGCGGGCCGCGAGCGGTGGTTCGCCGCGGCTACCGATCCGAACTTCTACGCGCCGCGGTCGTCGCGCGTCGCGGCGTTCGCGCGCCACAAGGACGCCTACGACGGCCACTCCTGGGCGTCGGGGCTCTTCTCGCTCGCCGACGGCAAGAGCCAGGAGAGCGTGTCCGAGGCGCTCCACTGCTACTACGCCGTCGGCCTCTGGGGCGTCGTCCGAAACGACCCGGAGCTCCGCGACTTCGGCCGCCTGCTCCTCGCGCTCGAGGCGCGCGCGGGCCGGGCCTACTGGCACGTCGACGAGGCCAACGTCTACGGCGGCGCCTTCGCCGCCGCGAACGTCGTCGTCGGCGTCGTCGGCGCGGCCGACGCGTCCGCGCGGACGTGGTTCGGGAGCGCGGCGGCCTACTCCATCCTCATCAACGCGCTGCCCTTCACGCCCGCGTCGGCGGCGCTCCTCGCGCCGCCGGCCTACGCCGGCCGGGCCGCCAAGGCGGCGCTCGCCGGGCTCCCGGACCCGGCGGGCGCGCGCGCGCCGGGCGCGCCCGAGAGCGGCGCAACCTCCGGCGGCGTCCCCGGCGACGCCTACGACGCGCTCCAGGGGCCCTGGCGCGCGTTGGGCCTCCAGCTCCTCGCCGTCGCCGACGGCGCCGCGGCCTACGGCGAGGTCCGGGCGCTCGCGGCGGAGGCGTCGCCGCCGGCGCTCGACGCGACGCAGTCGCTGCCCGCGCTGCTCTACTGGGCGTCGACGCGGCCCGACGCGGCGCCGCCGACGCCGGGCGCCGCCGCCGCGCGCGCCGCCGCGGACGCCGCGACGACGACGACGGCCGCGGCCGGATCGACGACCGCGGCCGGCGCTTCGACCGCGGCCGGCGCTTCGACGGCGGCCGCGGACGACGACGCGGCCGCCGCGCCCGCCCCGGCCACCACCGGCGCGCCCGCCTCCGGCAGCGACGCGTCTCCCGACTCGCCCGCCGCCTGCGCGGCCCACGCGGGCTGCGCGGCGCTCACCGGCGACTGCTGCCCCACGGCCGCGGGCGTCGCACTCGGTTGCTGCGACGATCGGCGCTAGACGCGCCTTATAGAGAAGCATGACTATACAAGATACAGCGAGGGTCAGCCGAGCCACGCGAGGCTCGACCGCTTGAAGTGCGCGCTCGACTTCGTCCGCAGGAGGTCGCGCTCCGTCTCGAGGCGCCGGAGCTTCGCCTGCGTGCCGCCGCCGGCCCAGCCCCGCAGGCAGGCGCACGCGTTGACGAGCGCGACGCCGAGCGCGCCGGCCAAGACCATGGCGCCCAGGACGAGCGCCGTCCCCGTGGACCCGCGGCCGCCCCCCTCGGTAATCGCGAAGGGCAACGCCGAGACCGCGGGCCCGAAGACGAGGGGCGCGAAGGCGAAGATCTCCTCGAGGATCGCGCCTTGTAGGTCTTCCTGCATGGCCAAAAACACGCCCAGCAGCGAGATGAGCACCTTCTTCGCGCGCGACACGTCCGCGAGCTGCTCGTCGATGCGCCTGTGTGGAAATCAAATCTTCAACCCGACTTCAATGTGCTCGTAATCGAAGAATTTGGACCAGACTCTTTCGCTTTGCTTCGAGAACTCGACGAGAGCGATCGATTCGTCCAAAAATCAGCCGAATCGACTTCGATTTGGCCGAGCTAGAGAATTTCAAAAGTTTGGTCGGGACGTCCCACACCAGTGTTTGATTTCCACACAGCGATGCGCTGGTCGTCGACGACGTCCTCGATCGCGCCGTCGGCCACATCCGCGTTGCCGCCGGCGAGCGTGTTGATCTGGCGGCCGATGGGCGTGTGGCGCAGGTCCGGCCGCCGCAGGAGCACGTAGAACGTCGCCGAGCCCGGCAGCGTCGCCTCGTAGGGGAACGCGGCGCTTTTCAGCGGGTCCATGTGCGTCGACACGTGGTTTTTGACCGTCGCGGGAATCAGCACGAAGAAGATGGCGATGACGCCCGGCTTGATGATGAGGAAGTAGAGCGCCAGGGAGAAGCCGCAGTCGAAGAGCCAGAGCTTCGACTCCCGGCGGCCGAGGCCGCTGCCCATGGCCACGAGGAAGTACGCGAAGTACGCGTTGATGAGGATCGCCAGCGCCCAGGCGAGCGCGTAGGCCCTCGGCGTCGGCGGCTCCTCCGGCGCCTCGAGCTCGCCGCCGAAGCGCTCCTGGCACGTCCGGATGATGCGCCGCTCGGATCGCGCGAACTGCTCGCGGCGCACGAAGTCCGCGAGCTTGTCTTCCACGTCCCGGGGCGACCCGCCGCCGGCCTCGACGTCCGCGAGCTCGCGCTCCCAGCGCTCCGCGCGCCGGAGCTGGTGCTCGGCCTTGGCCGCGATGGACAACAACCACTGGCGCTCGTCGAGCTCGTAGTGCCAATAACCCAACATCTTCCGCTCCAGATGGTCGCAGAACGACGCCGCGTGCGTCGCCCGCGGGCAGCCCTTCTTCCGGAGCACGGCGCCGTGGCGCCGGAGCTGGGCCCGCCGCGCCTCGATGGCCCGCAAAACGAGCGGCGCGAGTTGCTTCGCAAAGTGGTGGCACTCGAGCGCCGCGGGCGCGTGGCACGCCTCCAGCGGCGCGTCGCCGAGCGCCTTGCTCGAGCCCAGCGTGCGGAGCCCCCGCGCCGGCGCCTCCGACGCGGCCCGCGCCAGGAGGTGCGTCACGGTGCGCGCGGCGCCCGCCTGTGTGGAATTCAACCACTGGTTTCGGGGGGTCCCCACCAAACTTCAGAATTCTCTAGCTCGGTCAAATCGAAGTCGATTCGGCTGATTTTTGGACGAATCGATTGCTCTCGTCGAGTTCTCGAAGCACAGCCGAAGAGATTGCGTCAAAAATGTCGCATACGCTCACATTGAAGTCGGGTTGAAGATTTGAATTCCACACAGGCGCCCGCGAGCTGCTCGCCGACGCCGTGGCGGTCCGCGGCGCGCGCGGGCGCCGCGCCGGCCTCCTGCTCCAACTTGGCCAGGAGCGCGCACCGCCAGTCCGCCGACGGCGCCGACGCTTCGAGCTCGAGGTCGTCGTCGTCGTCGTCGTCGAAGGCGCCCCGGAAGGCCGCGCGCTCGCTGTGGGACGGTCGTGCTTCCTCGGGCTCCATCGGCGCCTCGGGCGCGACGCTCAGCCGCTCCCGCGCGACCGAGAGCACGCCGTCGAGCCGCTCCCGCGCCTCGGACAGCGAATCGATGGTCGCGTGCCACTCGGGGGCCCGCGCGGGTTCCAGCTCGCGCGCGAGGCCCGCCTCCGTCGTCTCGAGCTGGTCGATGGCCGCGGCGAGCTTCTTCGCGGACGCGTCGGACGGCGGCGGCGCCGACGGCACGGGCGCCGCGCCCGGCGACGGCGGGCGGTCGCGGTTCCCGGCGACGAGCCGCGCCTCGGAGTCGCCGAGGCGCGCGATGGCGCTCGTCAGCGCCGCCCGCCGCGACTCGAGGGGCCCGCGGGGGTCCTCGTCGTCGACGGCGTGCCCCTCGTCGTCGTCGGAATCCGCGAACCGCGGCCCGGGCGCGACGAAGTGGTGGATCGTCGACTCGACGTCGTTGAAGTCGATGACGACGCGCCGCGGCTCGACGTCGGCGCCGGGCGGATGGTCGAAGATCTCGTCGTCGACGTCGCCGGACGTCCGGGGGTCGTGGTCCGCCCGGGGGTCGTGGTCCGCGGCCGGGGGCGCGCCGACGCGCCCGTCGTCGCGGTCCGGCGCCGGGGGCGCGCCGAAGCCCTCGTCGTCCCGGAGCTCCGCGCGGAGCCGCTTCGAGATGCCCTTGCGCAGGTCCCTGTTCTCCATGACGACGCTGCCCCGCCCGCGGACGTGGCGCCGCGGCAGGCGGTCCGACGCGTCGCCGACGGAGTCCTTGCGGCCGAGCCGGAGCGACTGGCACCATCCGAACTCCGGCGCGGGCGCGAGGAGGTAGTTCTCCACCAAATGTTCGAAGAGCTTGACGGCCGGCAACAGGCAGAGCAGGATGAGGCAGAGCAGGAGGTAGTGCGAGCTCTTCGTCGTCGAGTCGTCGGGCACGGGCGCGGAGACGCACTCCTGCGAGCAGAGCTTCCAGTCGCACGCGCGCGCGGCCTCGAAGCGCGCGCCGGCGACGTAGGGGAAGCGGGCCTCGTAGTGGACGTGGAGCTCCCCGCGGAGCCAGTGCTTCGGGTCGCCGCAGTCGCGCGCGGTCCGCTGGCCCGCGCACCGGTCGTCGAAGTCCGGGTATTCGAGCGAGTTCTGGAGCGCCATGGCGTACATGAACATGAGGCACTCGAAGCCGCAGAGCAAGGCCCGCGCCGCGCGGCTCACGGTCCTCGAGTAGACGCCCCAGAAGTTGAGGAACGGGTGGCCCGTCCGCAGGCCCCGCGAGATGCGTCTCCGCCAGTCGCCGACGACGCCCTCGTAGACGTCTGACGCGTCGTAGGACGCCGACGCCGCCTGCGCCGCCGCCGCGCGCGCCGCGAGCGCCAGGGAGCTGCCGAAGTTGCGCCGCTTCAGCCGCCGCTTCCGGTCGCGCGCGTCGAGGCGTCTGCCGACGGCGCACATCGCGGCGACGAGGCCGACGAGCGCCGCGAGCGCGTAGAGCATGTAGGCCGCGCGGCGCGGGTCCGGCAACACCGCGAGGTCGCCCGCGTAGGACGCGACGAGCGACGTCGGCGTGAGCTCCGTGGAGCAGTCCTCGGGCGCGCCCGTCGCGACGTCGCAGTCGCACCGGGCCAGGCCCGTGAGCGCGTCGACGCTGAAGACGCACTTGGGCGCCTCCCAGATCGTGAAGCCCGTCGAGTAGATGGCGCAGGCCTTGACGCCCCGGGGGCACGCGACCTCGTACGTGCCCGGGAGGCCGTTGCAGTATTTCGTGACGACGTCGCCGGAGGGGCAGGCGTAGGACACGTTGCCGACGAAGCCGCAGAGGCAGGTCACGTTCGCGAAGTCGCTCTTGTTGAAGGGCGACGCCACGGCGCCGCCCGCGGGGTCGCCGATGACGAGGGACGCGGAGACGTTGCGCGAGTTTCCCGCGGACGCGTTCGCGCGCGCGAGGCGCCGCCGCCGCGCGGCCGCGTCGCCGGCGTCCTCGACGGCGTAGACGCCGAGGCGCACGACGGCGCCCGCGAGGCGCGCGTCGGACCGGTAGTCGTCGGCGACCTCGGCGACCTGGACGTCGTAGTTTCCGGACCCGCCGAGCGCGTCGGGCAGGTCCACGGACGAGTTCGAGCCGGGCGGCCGCAGCGCGCGCGCGGCGCCCGTGGCGTTGGCCGCGAGGCGCTGCGACGACGTCTTGAGCATTTTGGACGACGTCGTCGCGGCGAACTCTCCCGGCACGGCGGCCACGAGCTGGGCCTCGAGGAGCGCGTCGACGGTTGCCGCGAGCGCGTCGGACGCGTTCGAGTTGTTCCCCGGGGCCGAGAAGAGGTCGGACTCGAGCAGCGAGCTCAGCGTCCGGGCGACGGACGCCGCGGCGTTGGCCGTGACGCCGACGGCCGTCGACGACGCCGCGAGCGCGAGCGCGGTGTCCAGGGCCGTCGTCGCCGCGGCGCCGTTGTTCAAGGTCGCGAGCGCCGCGGCCGGGCCCTGGAGCGCGAGGGCCGCCTGCTCGACGAGGGAGCTGTCCGCGTCGAGGGACGCGGACACGGCGGCGACCGACGCGACGAGGTCGCCGACGACTTTCGAGTCGTCGGCCGCGGCTTTCGAGGTCGCGACGACGACCTGGCACACGGTCTCCGACTCGCCGAGCGCGAAGGCCGTGGACAACCGCAGGTCCGTCGCGTTCGCGAGCGCCGCGCCCGCGAGCGTCGTCTCCGCGACGCGGACGCTCAGGCTCGCGCGCGCGTCGCCGCCGACGGCGTCGTAGGCGACCGCGGCGACGGTGACGTTGGGCCGCCCCGCGGGGAGGACGACGTCGCCGACGTCCGGCTGGAGCGTCGCCACGCGGAGCGTCGACTCGTCGCCGTCGTCCTCGAGGCTCGTGAACGCGTAGGTCAGGGGCAGGTCCTCCGACACCCAGCCGGACGTCCTGAACGAGAACAACGTCTCCAAGGCGACGCCGGCCGCGGGCGACGCGGAGATGCGGCCCGCCGCCGGCGGCGCGACGGCGACGAAGCGCACGCTCGCCGCGCCCCGGGCGTCCTTGTGTTGCAGGGAGGCGGTGAGCGTGAGCTCGTAGGCCGCGCCCGCGACGAGCGACCCCGGCGAGAGCACGAGGTCGTGAGCGTAGGCGACCGCGTTAAAGGCGATGGTCGTCGCCGTGTTCGCCCAGGCCTCGAGGGGCAACGCGTCCTCGAGGGCGCCGCCCGTGAGGCGCCACGTGCTGTTGAGCCCGAGCGCCGGGTCCGCGGCCGCGCCGAGGCTACTCGGCGCGACGGCCCCGTAGAGGACGACCTTGGCCGCGCTCGGGACGCGGCTCGGCACCTCGGAGGCGTCGATGGCGGCGAAGGGCGGATCGTCGTCGACGAGCTCGAGGGCAACGGACGCCGTCGACGACCGGCCGTCGGCGGCCGTGACGTTCACGGCGAACGTCGCCCGCCCGACTTGGGACAGGCCCGCGAGCCCCAGGGCCTCCGACGTCTCCGCCGCGAGCGCGTCGCCGGCGGGGCAGGCGGGGCCCTCGCAGGCCCAGGCGAAGCGCAGGCCAGCGGCCTCGCCGCTGACGCCCTCGACGTCCGCGTCGTACGAGGCCGAAGCGTCGACGAAGACGACCCCCGACAGCGGCACGACGCGGTCGCCGCCGAGGATGAGCGCGACGACGTCGCCGCGGCCCACGTCGACGGCGACGGCCGCCGTGACGTTGAGCCCCAGGGACACGTCCGTGACGACGACGGCGAGCGTGTACGCCGCGGCCGCTTGTAGCGCGTAGGCGCCGAGCTTGAAGGCGCGCGGGTCCCGCGACGTCGACGCGAGGTCCAGGGCGCCGCCCGCGGCGTCGTAGGCCGTCCAGACGTAGGCGACGTCGCGGTCCGCGGCCGCGCGGCCGTCGCAGGACGTCGCGATCGCGTCGACGTTGACGGCGAGCGGCGTCGCGCGGTTCGCGAGCGACCGCGCGACGCCGCCGACGACGACGACGTTCGGCGGCGTGTCGCTCCGCAGGGCGACGGTGAAGGGCGCGGACGTCGCGGCCCCGCCCAAAAAGTTCTCGAGGCCGAGCGTCGCCTCGAGCGACGTCACGCCCACGCTCGCGAGCGCGACGAGCTCCGCGGACGTCGCGGCGAGGGCGTCGCCGCCGCGCGCGGCCATGGCGTCGAGCGCGCTCAAAGCGAGCGACGCGTTCGAGCCGTTGCCCGGGACCCAGTAACTCGCGTTCGGCGCCGCCGCGACGGCCCAGGAGTACGTCATGGGCCGGCCGCCGCCGCCCGACGACTGCGAGCTCTCGAGGGTCAGGCCCTCGCAGGCCGACGCCGTCGTCGGCCCGGAGACGACGGCCGCGGGCACGAGGGGCGGGTCCGGCGCCTCCGCGGGCACCGCGGACGCGTTCGCGTAGTCGTAGCAGTCGCAGCGCGCGCCCGCGGCGCAGTAGAGCCTGGGCGGGAACAAAAATAGTCGACACGGCGAGAGAAACGATGCGTCCAAAAATCAGCCGAAACGACGGCGATGCGACCGAGCGCGAGAGGTTTTGCTGGACCAGTCCAAGCTCGCTGGTTGTTTCCGGCACAGAGTAGAGCTTGACGACGCCCGCCCTGAGCGACACGGGCTCGCCGGGCACGAGGCCCCAGGCCGCCGACACGTCGCTCCGGAGCGTCGCCGCGTCGCTCCAGAAGCACGTCGCGGCGCCCGCGTCCGCGAAGGTGAGCACGGCGCCGCAGCCGAATTCGACGCCGGCCTCGTAGCCGAACTGGTCCGTGGGCGCGTCGAACTCGACGAGCATCTCCGCGCCCGTCGACGTGAACGTCGCGCCGGCGAGCATGGGCGAGTCGGGCAGGAGGCCCTGGTCCCGGAGCACGTAGCAGGGCACGGGCGTCGGCGCGGCCGACGGCGCCGACGTCGTCGGGAGGAGCGTCGGCGGCGCGGACGGCCGCGCGGTGGGGTCGCCGAGGCGCACCGTGGGGCGCGGCGTCGCGGATGTGGGCCGCGGCGTCGGCCCGGGCGACGGGCGGCGCGTGGGCGGCGCGGACGGCGCGGGCGCGGGGACGCCCGTCGGCCGCGGCCGCGGCGCGGCCGACGGCGCGGCTGAGGGCGCGGGTATAGGAGCAGCCGTAGGGCTCGGGCTCGGAGCCGCGCTCGGCGGCGGGACGATGACGAGCGAATCCTCGTCGATCGTCACGTTGGCGAAGGACGCGCTGTGGTTCAGCAGGTGCGCCGCCCAGGAGCCGTCCTCGAGCGAGAGCCGCAGCGAGGGCGCGAGCTCGACGAAGTAGCGCTCCGAGTCGATGGTGAAGCTGATGTAGGTCGACTCGCCCTCGTCGAGCCTCCGCCGCGCGGCGGACGTCACGCCCGTGACGGACACGGAGCTCGCGCCGTCGTCGAGCGCGGCCTCCGTCGCGCTCTCGAAGGCCTCCGCTTCCTCGTCGCCGAAGTCGTCCGGCGAGAAGCCGCTAAGCGTCAGGGACGACGCGTAGGACTTGACGGCGAACGACGGCGCGGCCGACGGCGGGGGGGACGGCGGCGGCGACGGGTGGCTCACGACGGCGCCGCCCTCGAGGCAGAAGGTGTAGGCCCCGTCTCCCCCGGGGACCGTCTCGACGTCGCCGACCGTGAAGCTCACGTCCGCCGCCGGCCCCTCGTCGCCAAAGTCGAAGGTCGCCGTGTAGCACCCGTCGGCGGCGCAGACGTAGGTCGCGAGCGCCGAGCCGGGCTCGAGGGAGATCGACTCGTCCGAGCCGTCGACCGAGACCGAGACGGTCGCCGACGCCCAGGCCTCGGCGGACGGCGCGCGCTTGAGCAGCAGCACGGACTCGCCCGACGCGCAGTCCGGCGTGGGGTAGGACGTGGGCGCCAGGGAGGGCGTCGGAGACGGCGCCGAGGTCGTCGGCGAGAGCGACGGGAGCGCGCTCGGCGCGCCGGACGGCGACGGGCTCGGCGCGTTCGACGGCGCGGGGCTCGGCGCGGCCGTCGGCGCGGCGCTCGGAGTCGTCGTCGGTAGCGCCGACGGAATATTCGACGGACTCGGGCTGGGATCCAGCGTGGGCGACGACGACGGACTCGGACTCGGCGCGGACGACGGAGCCGCGGTCGGCACGGCCGACGCCGTCGGCGCGGACGTCGGCGCGCTCACGACGGACCCGTCCTCGTCGATGCAGAAGTCGTAGTAAGTGGTGCGGCCCTTGCCCAGCTTGAAGACGTCGCTGCCGGTGCCGTCGAGGAACCAGATGCGCTGCGTCAGACCGCTCGTGTCCTTGGGCTTCTTCGAGTGGAAGACGTAGGTGAAGCACGCGGCGGACACGCACGCGTAGCGGGTCGGCGGGTACTGGCACTGGCCGTCGTCGTCGCGCTCGCACGAGAAGAGGAGCCTCTCGTTCGTGAAGTTGCGGCTCGGCGTGCTCACGAACGTCGCGAACGTCACGTACTCCGACCAGAGCTTGTTGTTCTCGTAGGTGACGCGCACCGGGAAGCGCGCCTGGCTGTTGCCGTCCGGGTCGCAGGAGATGAACGAGGGTACGGGGGTCGGCTGGATGGAGGGGAGCGGCGTGGGAAGCCCGGTCGGAGATGCCGACGGAAGCGCCGACGGGCTCGGCGTGGGAGCGTGTGTCGGGACCGACGCGGGAATAGGCGTCGGTTCCGCCGAGGGCGTCCGAGTGGGCGCGCCGCTCGGAAGCGACGATGGAGCCTACCAAGCATGACGGTGACTCATTGTTTCCCCACCCAAAATCTCTCGAAAATCGTCACGGCCACAGGACGCTGGATGGAGCAGGGGTGGGTTGCATCGTGGGAAGACCCGACGGAGCGCCTACGGTTTCGAGGGTCGTGATTGCGCGCGCTTTCGGCGGGAGAGAGGGCGCGTGACATTACATTATAACAAGGAGAAAGAAAAGGAATCCCGAGGGAGCCGCGTCCGCCGCCGCCGTCGCACATCGACGCGTCGCCACGCCGCGCCGCCGTCCGCCACATCAAGCGGTAGCGCCCGCCGCCGCGTCACCGTCGCTTCTTCGACTACGACTCCTCCTCCTCCTCCTCCTCCTCCGCCTCCTCCCGCTTCTGCTTTCGGCGCCTGTATTTAGCCTCGCCTCTGTGTTTCTTGTTGGCCTGTTTCCGGGAAGGCATGTCTCCTTGCACCGTCTGCCCAAGAAGTCGGGATAATTCCGCGGGGTCGCGCTCCTCGCGACCGCGCTTCGGCTTGGCCGCATGGGTGGCCTTCTTCGCTTCTTTCTCCGCTTCCTTCTCCGCCTTCTTCTTCGCGACCTCGGCCTGCGCGTCCGCGAGCACCTTCGGCCGCGGCTTGCCTTTGTAGTGCTTCACAGAACTGAGGATCTTGATGACCTCCACGTTCGTCTCCGACTTCCAGCGGATCATCTCGTTCATGGCCGCTTCGGTGCCGCCATCGTCGAATGCTTTCTTCAGGTCCAGCGCGGGTTTGGGTGTAGTCGCGTAGTAAGCCCCAGACGTCACGGTGCTGTACGTCGCGTCCTTCTTGAAGAAATACGAAGGCGGCGGGAAATACTCGAATTCAAGATGTTCCGGTCTGGCCTCTCCAGGCCTCTTGCTCCTGTGCTGATACTTCAAAGCAACCGCGACCGTCCAGCCGTCCAGACCAAACGTCTCGCGTCCCTCGTAAGTGGGCTCGTACTTGTGGCCGCCGTTCACCTCCTGGATGCGCGTCCCGCCCTTCTTCCCGAGCACGTAGCGGTACCCCGCCCGACAGATGCCCGCCTTGAAGCGAGCCTCGGGCGTGTCCGCGACGTCGTCGAGGGGCACTTCGTCGTCTTCGTTGAGGTCGCGGCTGGACTCTTGGACGATCTTGAGGATCCGCGACCGAGCCGCCGCCGGGTCGGCGTCGGCGGGGATGTAGTAGTCCTGGGCGTCCTTCATGAAGGCCTCCAGCCCCGATTCCTCGTGGATCCGCGACGGCTTCGCCTTCTCGAGCCCGGGCACGTCGAGGCCCCCTTCGATGGACGCCACTATGACGTCGAGCATGTTCGTGTTGACGACCGGTTCCTTCGTCGCTAGATTCTCTTGCGAGCGCCGCTTCTTCTGTCCGGGGAAGTGGCGGTGGCGCCAGAGCACCTGCCGCGGGAGCAGAAAGTGGCCTCGGATCTCGTCGCCTTCCCGAATCGTGCAGAGGAAGAGGTGAAACGAGTCCTTGTCGTAGCCGGCTTGATGCATCGCGAATATATACCGGTTCCGGGTCTTCGTCTCCGTCCCCTTGGCCTGCAACTTGAGCTTGATGTGGTGGCCGTCGATGACGATGAGGAGGTACGCGTCCACCAGTTGGAAAGGCACCGACGAGAGCCGCAGCTCGCCGTCGTCGCCGAGGAACGTCGCCAACGACGCGAGCTCCTTGTACTCCATGGTGCTGAAGAGCTGGTCGTAGGTCTTCTTCTTCTTCTTCGAGGTCTTGAAGATGCCCTCGAGCTTGGCGACGGCCTCGTCCATCGTCGCGCAGCCGTGCGCCTCCCAGAGCTCGGCGCCGTCCGGGTGCCGTGGATCGAGGTAGACCTGGTACGCTCGGGAGACGTCGGAGTGGTCGTCCTTCTTGTGCCGTCGCTGGCACGCTGGAAGATCAACACGTCGGCCCTCCTTCACGAGATCCGCCAGGACCTTCCCGTCTCGCACGATGAGGAAGCGCCCCGTGGCGTAGTCGTACTTCACGAAGACGGCGTCCTTGTACTTCAGGAGCAGGGCCTTGCTCGTCTGCGTAAACGAAGCGTCATGCTTGACACCACGCGACGTCTTCGCTTGGCCGCCGAGGACGCGGCCGTCCCAGAGCAGGTTTGGCACCCAGCCCTCCAGGATCGCCTTGGCCGCGTCCTTCGCGTCGACGATGACGAAGTCGTAGACGGGGTCGCCGTCCGGCGCCCGCGCGATTCGAACAGACGATTTCCGTCGCTCGAGCTCGCCCGCCAGCGTCGCGATCAGCGCGGCTTCAACGGCTGCCGATTTGCGCCCTCGGAAGCCCGGCGCACTCGTCATCTTCTCGATGCCCGCGTGCCGGTCGACGAAGCTCTTCATCTTCTTCTCGTCGTAGCCCTTCAAGTACTTGAAGATGAGATTCCAGTTTTGCCTGCGCGTACGTCGACGGTCATTGCCCACCGTGAAATCGACGTCGGCCCGGTCCTCTCGCGCGTCGAACCCCCTCTGCGACGTCGACCCGGTCTCTGCTCGAAGCCCCGAAGCCCCGGCGCCCCGAACCCACCGGAGGCCTCGCAGTCGAGCGTGCTCTGGGAACGCGGCTCGATCGAAGTCCCGGCCGTCGCGACACAAAGGCCTCGAGGCTCGCGGCTCTCGCAGCTCGCGGACGACGTCGCCACGTCGGTCCGGGCCGCGAGTTCGCCGTAGGACCGGGCGTCGAAGGCGACGTCGCCGTACCACCAGGAGTCGTAGTTGCAACGCGGCTCTCTCGATCGAAGCTCCGGGACGTCGCGACACTCAAAGTCCCCGAAATTCGAGACGCCGCTGTCGCACGCTTGCTTCTTAACGGAGCGCTGGTGGCACTTCATCGAGAGATCCTTGTTCGCGGCCATCTCCTCGTCGTTCACGAGCATCCACGTGATCATCTTCTGCGTACGGTCGATGACGTTTCCTAAACTGTCCACGCGGATGTCGTTGTTCGTCACGCTGGGGTTCCACTTCCAGACGAACTGCTTCCCTACGAGCGTCGCCACGAGGCAGTCGGCGTCGTGGACGTACTGCGGTTCCCTTTTGAACTCCGGCTGGTACGTGACGTCGATATCGAACGACGCGCCGTCGACCTTCATCGTCAAGCACCGTAAGCGCGGCGACTCGCCGCGCTTGCCGTACTTGTAGCTCGGGTCGTCGAGCTTCGCGCGCTTCAGCAGATCCCTCACATTCTTCTCGAGCGGGTCGAGGCGTGTGGTGCCCATGTACATGTCGAAGTCCGAGTCGTACTCGCGCTTCGGGTTCGCCATCCAGCAAGCTGACCCGCCGAAGATAGAAATCCGGGTGCTGAGCAGCAACAGGGTCAGTTTCTGTCGGAGAGTCAGTGGTTCCGTGGGGTCCCAAACCGACGTGACGTCCCACGTGACAGATTCATTGGACCGCTCCGCGCCCGTGTAGAGCGCGGTCGCCGTCCGTTTTGATTTCCTCCGCGGCGGCGCCTTGTCGCCGCCCCAGGCGGTAGGGAGCCAGGCGCCGTAAAGGCGTTTCAGCTCCTTGTCGATCTTGGCCTCGTCGGCCTTGGACGCGTCGGCCATCGTCGCGTCGCCGCCGCTGCTCTGGTCGCCGGACCCGCCGCCGTCGTTGCCGCCGGAGTTGCCGCCGTTGGACCCGTCGCCGCCCTCGTCGCCCTGGTCGCCGGGCTCCTCCTCCTGGTCGCCCTTCTGCAGGTTCTTGCCGCCCTTGGCCTTGCCGGCCTTGCCGGCCTTGGCCTTCGCGGGCCCCTTCTTCGCGGGCCCCTTCTTGCCCTTCGTCAAGAAGGCGATCAACTCGTAGCCCGCGCCGCCGCAGCGCGTGCCGTCGACGCCCTCGCCCCGGTCGCCGGCGACGAGGCCCTCGTCGCGCGGCGCGGCCGCGTCGCCGTAGCCACCCGCGCCCTTCGAGGACGCGCAGTCGTTCGCGCAGCCGCCGCCGCCGTCGCTTCGCCCCTCGCCGTCGACGCCCGCGCCGCCGCAGCTCGTGCCGTCGACGCCCTCGCCCCGGTCGCCGGCGACGATGCCCTCGTCGCGCGGCGCGGCCGCGTCGCCGTAGCCGCCCGCGCCCTTCGAGGACGCGCAGTCGTTCGCGCAGCCGCCGCCGCCGTCGCTTCGCCCCTCGCCGTCGACGCCCGCGCCGCCGCAGCTCGTGCCGTCGACGCCCTCGCCCCGGTCGCCGGCGACGATGCCCTCGTCGCGCGGCGCGGCCGCGTCGCCGTAGCCGCCCGCGCCCTTCGAGGACGCGCAGTCGTTCGCGCAGCCGCCGCCGCCGTCGCTTCGCCCCTCGCCGTCGACGCCCGCGCCGCCGCAGCTCGTGCCGTCGACGCCCTCGCCCCGGTCGCCGGCGACGATGCCCTCGTCGCGCGGCGCGGCCGCGTCGCCGTAGCCGCCCGCGCCCTTCGAGGACGCGCAGTCGTTCGCGCAGCCGCCGCCGCCGTCGCTTCGCCCCTCGCCGTCGACGCCCGCGCCGCCGCAGCTCGTGCCGTCGACGCCCTCGCCCCGGTCGCCGGCGACGATGCCCTCGTCGCGCGGCGCGGCCGCGTCGCCGTAGCCGCCCGCGACGTTCGCGGACGAGAAGAGGGGGCGTTTGCGAGCCCGAGGCGGCCGGCGCCGCCGACCTCCTGCGCGAAGAGGAGCGCCGCAGGGAAAGCGGCGCGCGATCATGAACGCGCGCGCCCAGTACAGCTCCTCCTCCGTCAGCTCCGCGGCCTTGTTGGGCTTGCCGGCCTTGGCCTTCGCGGGCTTCTTCTTCTCGCCCTCCTCGCCGTCCGGCGCGGTCACGCAGACCGTCGTCGCCTTGCCGCCGCAGATGCCCATGCGCGCGAGCCGCGAGACTCCACGAGCCACACCGCGAAGTGCAGCGCGGGCTTTGCGGAGCAGGCTCTTCGGCTTCTCGACCGCGGCCATCGTCGCCGCCGCCGGAGTCGTCGCCGCGGGCGCCGCCGTGGGGACCGACGCCGTCGATGTCGACGCTGAAGGCGGCGCCGCGGGGCACTCCGGCGCCGCGCGCTCGTCGCCGTCGTCCGTCTTCGGCTTCTCGAGCTTCGTGGCCTTCTTCGTCGTCGGCTTCTTTTTCTTCTTCGACTGGAGCGCCTTCGACGGCGTCGGCTTCTTCTTCGACGCGCCGTCGCCGGGCTGCTGCAGGGCCAGGGCCGAGGTCAGCTTCGCGGCGCGGTCGTCGCGGTCGACGTCCTCGTCCTCGTCCGTGTCGTCGTCGCCGAGGACCGCGAAGCGGCCGCGGCCGACGGCGTGCGCGGCGGCGCCGCCGGCGTCGTTCTTGGGGTGGCCCAGCCGCCGCCGCGCGACGCGGCCGCCGACGCGCGTCCACAGGGGCACGCGACGCCGGAGCACGACCCGCCGCTCGGATTCGAGCACCGCGGGCGCCTCGAAGTGGAGGGGCGTGAACTCGACGCTCCCGCAGAACTCGTCTTTCTCGGGGACCGCGGGGAGCAGGGTGAGGTCGAGCGGCGCGATCTTGAAGTCCGCGGGCTCGTCGCCGAGGAGCGGCGGCGAGCGCGACGTCGCTCGCTCGAGCGCGCGCTCGAACATTTGGGCCAGGCCCGACCGCCGGGCGCGCTCAAGCCGCACCCGCCCGACGCGCAGTCGCAGGCGCCGCTGCATGACCGTGGCCATCGGCGCTTGGCGTACCTAAAAAAGCGCACGAAATTTCGCACTTTCAGAGTGCCCGAGGGGGGGCTTTGGAGGAGGCTCAGAGCACCAAATTTCGCTCGGCGCGCGCGAGGGGCGTGTGGGATGCACATGCGCGAAGGCGGAGGCGAAAAAGAACTGACCTTTTTGATGCGGCGGGGCATATTTGGAGGGATCGCAACTCTGGGCGCCAACTCTTTGATAAAAAAAAGGCAAATCGGCGATTTGAGGAGCAGGGGGGCACAAGTCGCATTCGGCGCCGCCCGGGGAAGTATCGTGGACCCGGCGGGGAGCTTCGGGGGACCTCAGCCCGAGGTCGAGGCCCGCCAGCTGTCCGGGTCACCAAGGGGCGGAGTCGGGTCACGGGCGACCCGCGGCCTCTTCGGGCGCCACATGCCGCGGGTCGCGATGATAAACGCCATCCGGAGGTACAGTAGGGACCCCTCCGAGGCCCCGGGGGACCCGAGCCCCCCCGGCTTCGATGTTCGGCGACGACGCGACGCGCGGCACTCGCAGCCGTAGGAGTTGCGCGTGGCCTCGCGGAGGTGTCGATGACAGCGCGGCGCAGGGCGCCCTCGGGGGCTTCGATTAGTCATGTCGTCCTGCGGAGGATCATTTGCACGCCAGTTGTTGCCCCGTCGAGCGGTCCGCGCGCCGGCCGTCCGCGACGCTCGAAGTCGTACGGCGTGTCCGTGAAGCTCCAGAGCAGCCATCAAACCGTTGAAGACGGACCCAAAAGGAACGATGGCGCTCTCGACGGGAAGAGCCACCGCGCGCAGGGCGAGCCCTCGCGGCGACGGCCCCGCTCGGGAGCGCCGCCGCGCAGGGGCGAGCCACCCGCAGCGACGGCCCCCGTCGGTGGTGCAGCGCCACGGCGCACCACGGCGCGCCTCGGTCACGACCTGAAGGTGGCACGGTCAACTGCCCGTCAAAATCGTGCTCGATTAGTCGTGTACACAAGGTTGAAGTGGCCCTTGATTCGACTCTCGGGGTGAAGTCGGGCGATCCGCTCTCCAACGATCGATTCCGGCGTCCATTTCGAGTCGCAAGCGCTGGTTCTCTCGAGCGTGCCCACGGAGGACGCACAAGGGCTTTGAGTGATCGGTGCTCGCTCGTGGTCAAGGGCGTGTCCGGAACCGCTGCTGTGTAGACTCTCGCTGAATCGCCGGGTGTTTCCGCGCTGCGCCGACAGTAGCAAGCGTCGGGCGGAGACCCGCGCTGGCCGGCGCTCCAGACGCGAGGACGCGTTGGATTGCCGGCCGGAAGCGCGCGGGCCGTCCGTATCCGCTGCCGTCGCGCTCGTCCAAAAACGAACGGCGAAGTCGCTCGGACGACGTATGGAGCCAGTTTGAAGTCCGAAGTACGAAGTCTGCGAATCAAAAAGCGGACGCGGGGCGGCCGTCGAAGCCCTGGTCGACGTCGTGCCGCCGCAGCAACAGTAGGGCATCGCCACTCCTCGGGATATCCTGCGGAACTTCGACGCAAAGACACACGTTTTGTTCGGACTCTCGGGCCAGACCAGACGGACTCGCACTCGGCGTATTCGTCGGCAGGAAGCTCGGCGCGGCCGTCGGGGCGTGCGTGGGAACCTACCGAAATGAGTCAACGCTGCGTCAGTGAGATGCGCTACGCTCACCGATGCGGGTATGCGGGTAGGACCCGGCGACGGGAACAAGCTAGGATAGCTTGTGGGAGCCGCTTTCGGCTCGGCCGTCGGACACGCAGACGGACTCGCCGACGGACTCGACGACGGAGCACCGCTGGGCTCGGCGGTCGTCGGCGAGCGCGTCGGCGCCGGCGTGTGGCTCACCTCAAAGTCCGCGGAATCGCCGACTTCCGGAGCGTTCTCGCAGACGACATCGAGCGTGTAATCGTCGACCTGCGCCGCGTCCGCGACGTTGACCTCGCTGTCGCCGTCGTTGGCCACGCCCGTCTGCGTCGCGACGACGTCGCCGTCGCGCAGCGCGACCGTCACCTGAACCGTCGCGCAGGCGTCGGCGCTGCCGCGGTACGTCCACGTCGTCTCGCACGCGAGGCCCGCGACGCACGTCCAGCCCGTGCCGATGCTCTCGATCTGGATGAAGGTCGCGGTCGGCGCGCTGGAGGGCAGGGCGCTGGGGCTGCTCGACGGATGCGGGCTCGGCGCGCCGGAGGGCGTCGAGCTGGGGGACGAGGACGGCGCGGGCATCGGGTGGGCCGAGGGCGTCGCGGAGGGCGTCGCGCTCGGTGGCGAGGACGGCGCGGGCATCGGGTGGGCCGAAGGCGTCGCGGAGGGAGTCGCCGAAGGCGGTAGAGACGGCGCACCGGTTGGGTGCGCGGATGGACGCGAGCTGGGGAGCGTGGTGGGACAACCAGAAGGCGCGCTCGAAGGGATTCCGCTCGGTGCCGCCGTCGTAGGCGTCTCCGTGGGCGCCGAGCTGGGCGTGGCGGACGGCTCGGGCATCGGCGCGGCGGACGGGGGCGAAGTCGGCGCGGCCGAGGGACAGGCGCTGGGTGCTGCCGTCGTTGGCGTTTCCGTAGGAGCGCTGAATGGCTGCGCGCTGGGCGCGCTCGACGGCGCGCCGCTCGGCGTTGCTGACGGAATCGACGACGGCGCCGCCGACGGCGCGGGCAGCGGTTGGACGGTGGGAAGCGGCACCGGCTCGGCCGACGGCGGCGACGTCGGCGCGTAGGACGGTTTGCTCGACGGGTTTGTTGTCGGCGTGTAAGATGGCGATGACGTCGGCGCGTAAGAGGGCGCGCCTACGATATCGAGGGTCATGACTGCGCGTGCTTCCGGCGGGAGTGAGGTCGCGTGTCATTACATTAAAAACAAAAGGAGAAGAAATCCCGAGCGAGGGAGCCGCGTCCGCCGCTGCCGTCGTCGCGTTGTCGCCGCCGTCTAGGCTCGTCACCCGCCGACGGCTCCGGGCCGCGCCCCGCAGCCGTGGGCCTCGGCGATCGCGCAACGTCGTCGGTCCCCGCCGACCGCTCCGTCGGTTGCCCGTGGATGGCTCCGGAGCAGCACGTTCGGAGCCGGAGCCGCGGTCCGGACTCTCGGAGCAGCGTTCCGGCCTCGGCCATCGCGGCTCGCGAGTCTAGACTAGTTATAGCTTGAACTAGTGGCCCAGGGATGCTAACAGGTGGCCCATGGATGCGGCGCGTCGATGTCCGGGAGCGACGCTTCGACTCGGAGAAGCAACGGTCTGGATCGCGACGCTCTTCGAGGCGCGGCTTCGCGTGTCGCGACTTCACGAGCCGCGTCTTTTGCCGGTGCCGCGCCGGCGGAAATCGGTGTACTCCAGGGGCGGCGGCGGCTCCGTCTTCGTTCGCTTCGGCGGCCGTGCTTTCGGTGGCGGCGACGCGCCTCGGCGGCGGCGCGGCGTCTCCACAGGCTCGGGCGCCGGCTCGGGAATCAGCGGGGGCGTGCCCACGAAGAAGCCGCTCTCGAGGATGCGCTTGACGAACGTCGACTCGACGCCATCCTTCCTCGACTCGATGATTGCGGCAAGAGCCGCGTCCGCGACCAGCTTGTCGATGGCGCTTTGGTCGTCGGTCCGGGCGTCTTGGAGCGCGCTGGCGACGCGCTCCGCGAGCGAGAGGGCGACTAGCGGCGACTTCGTGTAACGTAAAAACGAGTTTGTGGCCTTCGGCGAGGTGTTCTTGATGGCGTCGACGAAGGTCCCGGGAAACGCGGAGCCGAAGAGATAGTAGGCCGGTGGGTAGAAGTGATACACCACGTCTTTTGCGTTCTTCACATCGCGTTTAACGATGTCGTCGCGTCTAACGACTTCGATCGTCCAGCCCGGCCCCAAACCGAAGTCGCGGCCGTCGTACGTCGACACGTGGCTGCGAGCCTTGTGGTTATTCGACGTACCGACGTAGCGCGCCGACGTCCCGCCCGTCACGTAGGCATAGCGAGGGTGGTCGACGTGGGACTCGAAGAGCATCTGCGGTGAGATGGAGGCGTCCTCGTAGCCGCCGACGACGTAGGACTTGTCCCACGGCCGCGTCGATTCACGTAGGATCTTTGCAACATGTTGCTTCGCTTCGTCTCCCAATTGTAAGTAGCCCTCGCCGTCTTCTTTGACCGGTACGTAATACCCTTTATTCTTGATCTCCATCATGAATTCGAATAATTGGTGATCTTGGCCGAGGACCGTTTTTAACCCAGGCAGCTCCAGCCCGGGGACGGACGCGAGCTTGATAGTACGCATACGGGGGTTCTGGAAGACCTCGCCCGTGTACGGGCATCGAAGCTTCTCTTGCCCTGGAAAGTATCGGTGCTTCCAAAGCATCGAAGTCGGCAGCAAGCAAAACCCAACGACGCGACCCTCGACGCGGACGTTGAGCAGGAACACGTCGAAGCTTTGCTCGTCGTAGTGCTTGCGCATGGGGAACGCGAGCCGATCACCACGGGGTGCGTTGGTAGATTTTTCTTGCATCTTCACTTCTAGGTCGTCGACCAGGATGAACGCGTCGATGATCTGGCATGGGAAATCCGTGATCTTGATGGCAATGTCGGTGACTTGCTGGAAAGCGCGGAAGTTTCCAGCCTCGTTTGACGTCATCATGTCCTCGTAGCACGTCTTCGTGGTCTCCCCGTCGACCCAGAGCGCCGCGAGCTTGGCCACGAGCTGCTCCTTCGTGATGCCCTCGGCGTCCCAGAGTGCCTTGCCCTCGTCGTGGTTCGGGTCGACGACGATCGCGACGGACGCGGGCATCGTACTGATGTACCAGGGGCCGTCCTCGATATCAGGCCGCTGCTGAGCGTGCCCAGTTGGCGTCATGCGGTCGAGGAGCTCCTGGCCCGTGCTGAAGAAGAGGAAACGGTCGAGCTCGTAGTCGTAGCGTACGTACGGGACGTGCGCGTAGGCCTCGACGTCACTCGGGTACAGCGAAAGCACCCTGGCGCCGCTCCAGAAGCACCGCTGCGTCTTGAACTGTACTCCAAGGGCGGCGCCGTCGAACCCGATGGCGGGCACGCGGCTGACGATCGTCGCCGCCTCGAAGTCGTCCTCGTGGACCAGCACCGCGTCCACGACATCGTCCTCGTCGAACCAGCGAGGGACGAGCCGGACGGGAGCGCCGGACCGGTCGCACTCGTCGGCGACCTCGGACATGACGAGGTTCTCCATCATCGTCTTCCAGTTCCCGAAGAAGCCCATGCGCCCGGCGCCTGTGCGGGAATCAACCAGTGAGCCGCGACGTCGCGGTCGAAGATTCTCCAGCTCGGTCGAATCGAAGTCGATTTGACGAATTTTTCGACGAGCGATCTTCCACCCCGACGAGTCCTCGACGGAGGACGAAAGATTCGCGTCGAGACCGCTCGAATGCGCCCACGGTGAAGTCGTGTTGACGTCGACGCGGCCCGGCGCCCGGGCAGGGCACCATCGTGTGCTTGATGAGGTATTCCTCCATGCCGTCAACGGCCCCCCTTGACAGCTGGCGTCCCCACACGACAGTCAGGCCTTGGTCGCGCTTCCGGCAGACTCGGTTGAGGACCGCGCGTCGGTTCCGGGGCTTCTCGAGCTGGGCCTCCGAGACGACGACCGTGGTCGTGCCCTGGGAGATCCGGTCCAGCGCCGGTGCGAGGTCGCCCACCTCCATGGCGTGGCGCTCGACGTCGGGGACCCACGAAAAGACAAGCCTTTTCTGAACCAAAGTGAGCTGCGTACAGTCCCCGTCCAGCCAACGGCTCAACTCGTGGCGGAACGCGGGCTCGTGGGCCACGCCGACCTCGAAGTCGCGGCCGCCGATCTTTACGACGAGCGTGTAGAGCTTGGAGTTGTAGTACTTCGTGCGCACATCGAGGCCCGCGTCCTTGAAGACGCGCTGGACCGACGCGGCGGCTTTGTCTAGAGGTCGACCGTACACGTGGACGTCGATGTCGCTGTTGCACTTTATCTTCTTGCGGTCCAGCGCGAAGTTGGCGGAGCTGCCGTAGACGTGGCCGTTGGCCACGAAA